TGTAATACACTTATCATGAGCCACTTTATCAGTTACTAGTTACAAAGACTTCAATCACTCTAACTTGTAATACGCTTATCACAAGCCACTTTGTCACTCACTAGTTACAAAGATTTGAACATATGACTAACTCTAGTCACAACACAAACTCAGATGGTTTATGATTTTGAGTTTCCAAAAACAAAGTTTCTAATAAAGCAAGATAGGAGTTACAGTGAAGAACAAATAACAAAGACTCAACAAACTTAAGGACTTAAGATATCTTCAATCTTTGGATCTGGTCCTTGAGGTTGCAGCAACTTTGTTCTTGAGAGAGGTGTTTCTAGCACTTGAAAGAATATCACTAAAAATGCTCAAGTGAATATCTTGTGCCTAGCACCAGGTTGTTATACTACAAAAGACATCACAATGGTGATGTCAATTCTTGGTTAGTACATGTTTTTTCCCAATGGGAAGTCACTGCTGCACTGTGCGCGTGTACAGTTGCAGGCAGTCACTTTCTGGAGTTGCTTTCCAGCTGTATAGTTGACTTATACTTCTGTCAGCGAACACCAAGGGATCAAGTCCCTAATCTGGTTCTTGTGAATCTGAAGGCACACTGCTCAAATTATCTTGAGTTGATGACCTTGAATGATTGTACCAGGCATGCTTCAGGTCCTTTATCTGGTTCTATATAGAAAGTTTGTTAAATCATCAAAACATAGATTAAAAGACCTAAAGTCCATCAATTTTCCCCTTTTTGATAATGACAAACTTTTAACATCGATGCCTATTTGACTTAACCAATTAAGGTACTAGCACCTTCATATGTTCCCCCTGACTCCATGTTTTCCCCTTAATTACTTGCTACAATTTCAAATCGATTCTTCCCCTTTTTGGCATCAACAAAAAGACACAGTTAGATAAAATGTCATGAAGAAGTCTAACAAAGCTAACTCATGCTACATATGTGCACACAACATGATAGAAAAGAGAACCAAAAAGGAAAACAAGCATTGTACAAGCAAAAGAAGAGCTGTTTCATTGATAAGAAATTGGATTGTTTCAATAGGAGAAGCAACGGTGAAATCCAACATGCCATCACAAAAAGATAAACAAAAAGAAAACAACAGAGCAAAAGATAACCGGTAACTGAGAGGATCCTAGGGGGAACTAGAAGAGGGAGGCTTGGAAGAGGAGGCAGCTATGGTTTGAGAACCAGGTCCATGCGGGAATTTGCAGATAATTGTTATTTAAGCAGTCTCTCCCGCAGGTTCTCCACTTGTTTCCTAAGTCCAGAACTTGTCTCATACCTGCCATATTCGAGATTGTCAGGTCAAACGTGCAACCCTACAAGACTTTTCAGAGTTCTCAAACTCTCCTGCCCAAGGCCACTGTCACTTAGAATGGTCTTCATTGAACTAGGTCCTCCCACAGTTTCCCACTTTTGTTTTCTAGACATTTAAACAGACTTTCCGTTCCTGCTTGCAACAGCCACAGTGTCACCTTTAAACAAATTTTTCTCAACCACAACCTTCTTAGATTTTCCACCACTCTTCACAGCTGTTCCACTTTGTTTTGTTTTCTTTTTTTTCACAGCTTTCTCTGAAGCCTCAACCACAGACTTTTGGACTTTTGTAGATCTTTTCACTAAGAAACTAGGTTCCTCCACAGCATCTTTATCAACCTCAACCACTGGAATGTGTTTGTCAGCCACAACTTCCCCCTATTTCATCAACCTCTTCTTCTTTTTCTTAATACTCTGCTTACTCTTCTGTAAGGCAGACTCAAAAGCCTATTTCTTCTGCAACTTCCTAGTTTGTTTTAGCTTAAAGAGAATCAGGTTCTTCAATAGGTTTTTCTGTGATGGTGTCATGAACTGGAGACTCGAAAAGCACCAGAGTTCTTTCATCCTTTAAGAATGGAGTTTCTTCCCCCTAAGATTCAGGCAGAGGGGAGGCTCCTTCATTCATAAGACTCTTAGAAGTGATAGCCATGATATTTAGTGTCGCTTCCTTTTCGTGGGAGCCACTAATCCTAGAACGGAGGAGTTCAAGTACTGATCAGAATCTTCCTCAGAGACCTCTGACGCCTGAGGAGTAGCATTTTTGGTTTGTTTAGAAAAAAGAGGAGAAGTAGGGTTTGCAACACATGGAAGTGAGACAGGGTTTGACGGAAGAGTAGAGGTGACTGGAGATGAAGAGGAAACCAGTATGGGTACAGTAGTATCAGGGATAGTGAAGAAGTGGGTTTCTGGTGGTGGTGTTAAGGGAGGTGGAGATGTGGAAGTGGTGTTGGTGACAGGAGAAGGAGACGATTGTTCGTTGGCCATGGTGAAAGAAGTGGTAAGGAGTTCTAAAGAAAAACTTAAAGAGATGCAAAGGGAGATAATTGTTCAGAACTGCTGGGAGTGTGAGGGTTTTATGGAAGAAAGAGCTAATAATGAGAGGGGAGAGGAACGAGTTCTGAAAAGTTTTGAAATGATGGTAGGTTTGTGGTAATACGTAACGTGTAGAGGAAGTGAAAGGATTTAAGAGACAAAACGTGTTATGTAGTCTCTAAAAAGTCAATGATGTGGTAGTTGAATTAATTTTGCTATCCTTTTAAAAGGCACGCGAAAAACACATTACTACTAACCCGTGGTACAGGAACCTAGTTTCTGATCTGTTTTTGTAAAAGGGTTTTGCAGCTCTCCTCTGAAGTTCAACATTATACCTTTAGCTTCTATGATCGTCATGTGTGTGTACTTGCAACAGTATAGATGTGAGTTAGGCCTAGTCAGAAAATACTTTAGCTAATTTTACCTTGGTGTGACTATCATAGTCATGTCAGTAGAACCAGGTTCTCAATTAGGTTTAAGTAACCCCAGCGCCATCCTGTTTCTCAAAGTGTTCCCTGCTCAGAGCTTTGGTGAAGATATCTGCAGTTTGATCTTCTGTGTAACAAAATCTCATACAAATAAGACCTTTTTCCCCATTGTCCCTGAGAAAATGGTGTCTGACATTAATGTGCTTGGTTCTTTTGTATTGAACCGGGTTCTTTGCCATTATGAGAGTATTGGTGTTGTCACATATAAGTGGTACACAATCAATGTATACACCAAAATCTTCCAATTTTTTCTTGATCCACAGTGAATGAGCACAACACGAGGCAACTGCAACATATTCTGCTTCAGTTGTTGAGAGAGATACTGAGTTTTGTTTCCTCATACCCCATGAGATAAAACATTATCCAAGGAAATGAGCCATTCCAGATGTGCTTTTCCTGTCCACCAGATAGCCTGCATAATCAGCGCCAGCATAACCAATAAGGTTGAAATCGTCACCTGAAGGATAGTACAGAACCAGGTTCTGTGTGTCTTTAAGATATCTCAGAATTCTCTTAGCAGCCTTCAGATGAGATTCCTTAGGATTTGATTGGAACCTTCCACATACTCCCACACTAAATACAATGTTAGCCTGCTGCCAGTAAGGTAGAGTAGAGATCCAATGATTCCCCTATACATTGTTTGATTTATAGGTTATCTAGAATCATCCATGTCCAGCTTAGTAGTAGTAGCAATAGGGGTATCGGTCACCTTTGATTCTTCCATATCAAACCTTTTTAAGAGTTCTTTGATGTATTTCTGCTGACTGATACACATTCCATTTATGGACTGCTTCACTTGAAGACCCGAGAAGTCATTCAGTTCCCCCATCATACTCATTTCAAACTCACTTCCCGTGAGTTTAGCAAATTCTTCATATAATGAGTCAGCTGTATCTCCAAATATGATGTCATCCACATAAATCTGAACAATGAGCAGGTTCCTTCACCGTTTCTTCCAAACAATGTATTGTCAATCTTTCCTCTTGTGAAGCATTTTCCAAGAGAAACTTGGATAGTCTCTCGTACCAGGCTCTAGGGACCTGCTTTAATCCGTACAGTGCCTTATCCAATTTGAATACATGTTCAGGATGTACATGATGTTCAAAACCTGGAGGTAGCTTGATATAGACTTCTTCTTTGAGAAAACCATTCAGGAAGACACTCTTCACATCCATTTGGAATAGGGTGAATTCCATATGTGAAGCAAAGGCAGTGAGGATCCTAATAGCTTCCATGTGAGCTACTGGGGCAAAAGTCTCATCATATACTTCTGTCAGCGAACACCAAGGGATCAAGTCCCTAATCTGGTTCTTGTGAATCTGAAGGCACACTGCTCAAATTATCTTGAGTTGATGACCTTGAATGATTGTACCAGGCATGCTTCAGGTCCTTTATCTGGTTCTATATAGAAAGTTTGTTAAATCATCAAAACATAGATTAAAAGACCTAAAGTCCATAAATTTTCCCCTTTTTGATAATGACAAACTTTAACATCGATGACTATTTGACTTAACCAATTAAGGTACTAGCACCTTCATATGTTCCCCCTAACTCTATGTTTTCCCCTTAATTACTTGCTACAATTTCAAATCGATTCTTCCACTTTTTGGCATCAACAAAAAGACACAGTTAGATAAAACGTCATGAAGAAGTCTAACAAAGCTAACTCATGCTACATATGTGCACACACCATGATAGAAAAGAGAAGAAAAAAGGAAAACAAGCATTGTACAAGCAAAAGAAGAGCTGTTTCATTGATAAGAAATTGGATTGTTTCAATAGGAGAAGCAACGGTGAAATCCAACATGCCATCACAAAAAGATAAACAAAAAGAAAACAACAGAGCAAAAGATAACCGGTAACTGAGAGGATCCTAGGGGGAAATAGAAGAGGGAGGCTTGGAAGAGGAGGCAGCTATGGTTTGAGAACCAGGTCCATGCGGGCATTGCAGATAACTGTTATTAAAGCAGTCTCTCCCGCAGGTTCTCCACTTGTTGCCTAAGTCCAGAACTTGTCTCATACCTGCCATCTTCGAGATTGCCGGGTCAAACGTGCAACCCTACAAGACTTTTCTGAGTTCTCAAACTCTCCTGCCCAAGGCCACTGTCACTTAGAATGGTCTTCATTGAACTAGGTCCTCCCACAGTTTCCCACTATTTTTTTCTAGACATTTCAACAGACTTTCCGTTCCTGCTTGCAACAGCCATAGTGTCACCTTTAAACAAATTTTTCTCAACCACAACCTTCTTAGATTTTCCACCACTCTTCACAGCTGTTCCACTTTGTTTTTTTTCTTTTTTTTTAACAGCTTCCTCTGAAGCCTCAACCACAAACTTTTGGACTTTTGTAGATATTTTCACTAAGGAACTAGGTTCCTCCACAGCATCTTTATCAACCTCAACCACTGGAATGTGTTTGTCAGCCACAACTTCCCCCTATTTCATGAACCTCTTCTTCTTTTTCTTAATACTCTGCTTACTCTTCTGTAAGGCATACTCAAAAGCCTATTTCTTCTGCAACCTCCTGGTTTGTTTTAGCTTAAAGAGAATCAGGTTCTTCAATAGGTTTTTTTGTGATGGTGTCATGAACCGGAGACTCGAAAAGCACCAGAGTTCTTTCATCCCTTAAGAATGGAGTTTCTTCCCCCTAAGATTCAGGTAGAGGGGAGGCTCCTTCATTTATAAGACTCTTAGCAGTGATAACCATGATATTTAGTGTCGCTTCATTTTCTGGTGACTCCGTGGGAGCCGCTAATCCTAGAACGGAGGAGTTCAAGTACTGGTCAGAATCTTCCTCAGAGACCTCTGACGCCTGAGGAGTAGCATTTTTGGTTTGTTCAGAAAAAGGAGGAGAAGTAGGGTTTGCAACACATGGAAGTGAGACAGGGTTTGACGGAGGAGTAGAGGTGACTGGAGATAAAGAGGAAACCGGTATGGGCACAGTAGTATTAGGGATAGTGAAGAAGTGGGTTTCTGGTGGTGGTGTTAAGGGAGGTGGAGATGTGGAAGTGGTGTTGATGACAGGAGAAGGAGACGATTGTTCGTTGTCCATGGTGAAAAAAGTGGTAGGGAGTTCTGAAGAAAAAATTAAAGAGATTCAAAGGGAGATAATTGTTCAGAACTGCTGGGAGTGTGAGGGTTTTATGGAAGAAAGATCTAATAATGAGAGGGGAGAGGAACGAGTTCTGAAGAGTTTTGAAATTATGGTAGTTTTGTGGTAATACGTAACGTGTAGAGGAAGTGAAAGGATTTGAGAGACAAAACATGTTATGCAGTCTCTAAAAAGTCAAATGATGTGGTAGTTGAATTAATTTTGCTATCCTTTTGAAAAAGCACGTGAAAAACACATTACTACTAACCCGTGGTACAAGAACCTAGTTTCTGACCTGTTTTTGTAAAAGGGTTTTACAGCTCTCCTCTGAAGTTCAACATTATACCTTTAGCTTCTATGATCATCATGTGTGTGTTCTTTCAACAGTATAGATGTGAGTTAGGCCTAGTCAGAAAATACTTTAGCTAATTTTACCTTAGTGTGACTATCATAGTCATGTCAGCAGAACCAGGTTCTCAACTAGGTTTAAGTAACCCCAGCGCCATCCTGTTTCTCATAGTGTTCCCTGCTCAGAGCTTTGGTGAAGATATTTGCAGTTTGATCTTCTGTGTAACAAAATCTCATACAAATAAGACCTTTTTCCACTTTGTCCCTGAAAAAATGGTGTCTGACATTAATGTGCTTGGTTCTTTTGTATTGAACCGGGTTCTTTGCCATGATGAGAGTATTGGTGTTGTCACATAGAAGCAGTACACAATCAATGTATACACCAAAATCTTCCAATTTTTGCTTGATCCACAGTGAATGAGCACAACACGAGGCAACTGCAACATATTCTGCTTCAGTTGTTGAGAGAGATACTGAGTTTTGTTTCCTTGTACCCCATGAGATAAAACATTATCCAAGGAAATGATCCATTCCAGATGTGTTTTTCCTGTCCACCAGATAGCCTGCATAATCAGCGTCAGTATAACCAATAAGGTTGAAATCGTCACCTGAAGGATAGTACAGAACCAGGTTCTGTGTGCCTTTAAGATATCTCAGAATTCTCTTAGCAGCCTTCAGATGAGATTTCTTAGGATTTGATTGGAACCTTTCACATACTCCCACACTAAATACAATGTTAGCCTGTTGCCAGTAAGGTAGAGTAGAGATCCAATGATTCCCCTATACATTATTTGATTTATAGGTTATCTAGAATCATCCATGTCCAGCTTAGTAGTAGTAGCAATAGGGGTATCGGTCACCTTTGATTCTTCTATATCAAACCTTTTTAAGAGTTCTTTGATGTATTTCTGCTGACTGATACACATTCCATTTATGGACTGCTTCACTTGAAGACCCGAGAAGTCATTCAGTTCCCCCATCATACTCATTGCAAACTCACTTCCCGTGAGTTTAGCAAATTCTTCACATAATGAGTCAGCTGTATCTGCAAATATGATGTCATCCACATAAATCTGAACAATGAGCAGGTTCCTTCCCTGTTTCTTCAAAACAATGTATTGTCAATCTTTCCTCTTGTGAAGCATTTTCCAAGAGAAACTTGGATAGTCTCTCGTACCAGGCTCTAGGGACCTGCTTTAATCCGTAGAGTGCCTTATCCAATTTGAATACAAGTTCAGGATGTACATGACGTTCAAAACCTAGAGGTAGCTTGATATAGACTTCTTCCTTGAGAAAACCATTCAGGAAGACACTCTTCACATCCATTTGGAATAGGGTGAATTCCATATGTGAAGCAAAGGCAATGAGGATCCTAATAGCTTACATGCGAGCTACTAGGGCAAAAGTCTCATCATATACTTCTGTCAGCGAACACCAAGGGATCAAGTCCCTAATCTGGT